GAGAAATGGAAGAGATCACGAGGAGCTCCCAAATGGTGCCCAGCAAACAGCAGAAGAGGAGTTTTCTGAAGTGTGATGGCAAAGCAATCATCATGGATGATACTGCATTTTGCAGAAAGCAAATGTGTCCATTTAGGAGCTCTACATGAATGCACACAAAAAAAGAGAAGGGTTTTTTTCTCTCCAGATTGATATTTTATTATATTTTCAAGTAGCTATATTTATGACTGAGTAAAATCGTGATTAGTGTTGAATATCATAATGCCATTACTGTAGTACCAAACCCCCCACAAACTCAAACAGGAAAATAAGGACATAAGAGGAAAACTGCATTCTCAGTGTAAAAAGTCAGATGCTTCCTGCTAAAAAATATTGGAAACAGTGTGGGAATATCAAGAAAATAATTTTTGTCCATACTATAAACTAATGAGCAGGGCTGTCCTGCATGGGAGATGCCCCTGACTGTTCAAAAGCAGCAAGGACAGTCCTATGAAAATACATCCTGTGCACCAAAAGTGGCAAGGAGATTTATTCTTTTCACTGTTATTACTGGGTTTCGTATGTCTTTTTGCTGTGTCTCTCTGTTACTTTTCTATTTTAAAGTATTACTCATCTGGAATCAAATTCTGTGAGATTCTGAAGAGGGTATCTAACTCTGAAGTGTAATAATTAGATTCAGCAAAGACCTGTGAAGAAGTAAATGTTTGGGTCTCCTTTTATTCAGGAAGGTAGCCTGAAACCTGTGGATGCCAGAAATTGACTTTTCTCCATGTTGGTCCTGAATATTAAAAAAGTTGTAGCTGTGTTCTGGAGAGATTTTTGGGGTTTTTTTTCAGAACACTTTATGACCTCTCTTAAATAGAAAAGCACTGGAGAAAACAGGGTGAAAACTGCCAACATCATTGGTCTAGAGAGTTGATTTCCTTCATGATTTAGAAAGCAGTTGTGAGCCTGAATATGAAAAAAAACAACCTGACCTCATAGCCCAGTAATCTGTGCTTAGTGACAGACAGAGATCTCTTTAGGCTTGTTACACTCAGTAGATCTGAGCTCCTCTGCTCCTGAGTGTTACTTGACCCCCATGCTTGAGGGACATAAAGCAACTTTTCTGCTATGAGTAACTGTCCATCCGTTGCCTCCTTTCTCACAGGAAGTTCGCCTTAAAATGAGTGCCATGGTTTAACTCCAGCTAGCGACTGAGCACCACACACCCTGCCACTGAGGGGATGGGGGAGAGAATTTAAAGGAAAAAGTGAGAAAATTCATGGGTTGAGACAAAGGCAGTTTAAGACAGAAAAGTCACTCACACAAACAAAGCAAAACAATTCACTTCTTCTCATGGGCAGGCATCAGACAACAGTTACTGGGGAAAACAAATTCCAAAGCTCTGAACCACCCCTCTTCCTCCTTCCTCCTCCTTGTGTCTTAGCTGTTCCCATTCCTCAAGAAGCAGCAGCAATCAGGGACTCAAGTCCAGTAAGACACTGTCTTAAACAATGAACTGCAACTTCTGAAGGTCACTGAGTACAGGGAGAGCCAGAACTGGGCTTCTCCACAAATAGAGTTGGACATTACCAATTTCTGAAGGCAAAGTGAGCTCACTGTGATCCTAGAGCACCAGCTGGGCTCTCAGCAAGGGTGGAAGGCCTATTCCTATCAAATGCTATTGAGGTATAAGGGTATGAAATTCCAAAAGTTTTGACAGACCTGACCTGCATTTAGGTATCAACACACTCCAGATGGTTCATTAACCAAGACAAACACACTGCAAGGCTGCCAGGAGCCTTTCCTAAATCAGTGACAAGAGAATTTGGAGCATGGCAGAGCTCTGCTTCAGAGGTGATATTTTTCATCTGTTGTAATTTTTAAAATACATAGTGTGTTTATATATAGAGATGAATGATGAATGTACATTGGCAGGGGCACACTCCATTTGTTCATGAAGTATAACAAAGAGGCTGGATCATATGCTCTTTCAGAACTACTGTCCAAAAAATAGAGGCAATCTGGTGACTTATTTTAATGTCTTAGTTCTAAGTTAACAAACGTATGTCCAGGGGCTCCCACTGAAACAGGGCTGGGCCTTTGCAAAGTCAATAGTTTATTTACTAACTGAGAATAAAGCACACAGGAACATGTTTGTAGATGTTAGCAATGCTTTTCATTAGCTGAAGATGGCATTAAGTATGATTATTCATTAGTTTCAGTGAAATTCACAGGCCTGTTTGCAGAGTGAAAGTAACAATGAGACGTGGCGGAGAAAAAGAAAGAGAAAAGGCAGAAAGTGTGCATTCACCCTTTGAGGAGGAGGCAAAAAAACCCCAAACCAACAACTGAGATGATTTCGTGCCTTATCAAAAAACAAGTCAAAGTAATAGGAACAACACTGAAAGGTGCTAAGTTTCTCTTGCCCTAAAGCTGTTATTAATGGCACTTGTTAAGAAGTATCTCCTAGATACAGTTTAACCATTGGTAAAGTTAACTATTTTCCTTGCTAAGTGTGCTTAAAATTTAGACAGCTTAATTTGTTTCTGTCAAGAAAAAATAATGTTTTCAGTCCCACCCTATCCTCTTCACAAGACTTTTTCTTTACTGTAAATCTTTGTAGCCTATTGTATTGCCTCATTATTTAATACAATCTTCTCTCTACTTGGACGCATTAAAATAAGGGGGCTGCTTTTCTCCAGGCTTGAACACGACTCTGCCATCTTCCCTGCACCCGTGTTGAGATGCCTTCACTCACCCTGCAAGAGCGCCTCGTTAGCCTTTGCCAGTGCCCAGGAACAGCGCCGTTCCCATTCCCTGGACTTGGTAAAAGGCAACACTCACAGATCGCACATTTTTTGTGAAGAAACCCACATCAGGTGACATTGCAGCTGGTGATCAGAGAAAATCACTGCAGCCTGGAATTGGGAAGGGACATTCCCTGTCATTACCTGGATGTACAGTAGCTCATAAAAGCAGTAATTTAAGGAAGACCTCCTATTTTGCAGAGCCTTCTGTGTGGGCTCCTGGACAGGACGGCAGCTCAGACGAGCGAGGAGCCAGGGAAGGACCCTTCCAGGTGAGATGTTGCAAACACTGGGCAGGCTGACAGAGGGTAGATTTGCTCTGAGGAGGAGCAGTCTTGTCCCGTTGTCTTTGTTTCCTTTTCTAATGACGTTATCACACTATTTTCACAGATGATCCTGCTGCATTGCTGGGTCGCAAAGGGTTAAAACGGAGGGCAGCATCTGTACTTTTAAAACTACATGCGACAAAGTCCATTGCTTGTAGTCTGGGTCCTTTCTATCCCCCGCCCCTCCCCAGCTTCCAGTAATCATTTATTATTAGAGGGGTTTTATGATACAAATTTGATAATCTCCCATACACATTGGCACTGTTCTAATTGGAGTTGTAAGCCCATAAAATTCAAGCCCTTTGTTTTCATGAAGGCCACAAGGTTTTAAAAGATGCTATTGTACCGCCTAAAACCCATAAAATTGTCACTAGGGACTGATTAAACAGTCCTGAATCGAAACAGTGCGGATTTTGTCTAGGTCCTTTTCATGCACAACAATGCTCTTTTCAACCTCCAAGACAAAAGGAGGTTTAAGGAGCGATTCTCTGGGAGATTCTTCTAAGATAACCCCATCCATATGGGAGACAAGGTGGCCAGCAGCTGAGACGAAAAAAAAAAAGATTTCGGATGGCAGGAGGAAAAATAAAGGGAAAGGGCGGGGGAAGGACAACAACAACAACAAAAATCAAAACCCAACAACCAACCAACCAAGCAATAAAACCAAACCCAGGTGACACAGAAGCCGTGTTTGCCCAGGTCCTTCCCGCAGAGCCCAGAGGCCTGATCCGCTCTGTGCGCACAGCCTCCTGTCCAAGCAGGGAGGAGATGTAGGTGGGAGGGCTGGCGTCCCTTCGTTCTCCCCAGCCTGTCCTCACTGTAGCTGGCTCTGAGCCTCCCGCACCGAGGGCACAGGCGACACCGAGCCGCCCAGGTGGAGGGTGCGAAGCCCTGGGTAAGGCAGGGCTGGGAGGAGAGCCACTCTGGCAGGGGAGGCGGCCGAAATCACTCACGGAAACTGGTGCGTGCCTTTGGTCGCCTCCTCATCCGCGACGGCAGCACCTCCCAGCTTCGCTCTCCGTGGGTTCTCCGGGATGTGTAGGCAGCACATCACATCCCAGAGGCATACCGAGTCCAAAATTTTCCCCTTCTAGGGAAAAAAAAAAATTAAAAATATATAATAAAATCCCCACTTAAATATCTTCTGCGGATCCTTTTCCGTCGACACCTTTTCCTCGGCGGCCACGTTGTCTGCATCAGTCCCCGTGGGGTCTTTGCCCCAAATATTCCCTCAGCGTTCATGGTCCGCAGGTCCCGTCAGAGGGATGGAAGCAGCCGGTCTAGTCCATATTTCAAGAACCTGGATTTAGCTTTGTAGGGAGTTTTAGGGTTTTCCCCACTGGCGGTTGGCAGATAATACATATTATTATTTTCACCCCAAAGCAATAAAAGCAATAGTTTATCAAGTAGTTTCAAAACATAATTTTCTTGGCTATCCTTCCCCAGTCGAAATTTGGAACGGTTTCAGGCTAACGGAAAGATTGGCTTAATTCTGGATCCTGCATTAGTGCCTCTATGGAAGACATCGCCGCTTAAAAGCAAAGTCGTGGGAGCGGGAGTCGCTAGAGCGGGAGACTCTGGGCTCACGCTTCCCGTAGGAATTATGACAGCTTTTACAGTGAGATGCTTGCTGCAAAATTTATTTGCCATTTACCGGCTCATATGCATAAAATAAAAGAACTTGAAAGTCAAATTCGACTGGAGATATTGAGACAAGTATTTAAGATTTTATAGCACAGGAGGCAATCCTACGAAACAGTCCCAATCGTCAAAACTACACTTCTCCGCCGGGAAAAATTTATTTGCCAAAAATCATTTTATTAGTCACTGGAAGAGTCAGCTATTTTAAAGTACACTAGGTCGCTAGGATGATCATTAATTTTTAACAAGGCATCTCTCGAACAGGAGGAGGAGGAGGAGCGGAGGTTTTACAAAATTCGCGCCTCACGCGGCATCCTCGCCCTCGGGTGAGGCCGGTGCAGGGGAGCGTGGCCCCGGCCAGCTCGTCCCGGCCTGCCGCCGCCCGGAGCCGCGCTCCGCCGCCCGGCCCGCCCGCGCCGTGCCGCACCAGCACCGGCACCACCACCCGGCGCAGCAGGGCGGGCGGGCGCGCCTGGGGGCTGCCGGGGCCCTCGCTTCGCGCCCGCTTCATCTTGTAGCGGTGGTTCTGGAACCAGATCTTCACCTGCGTGGGGGTGAGGCTGAGCAGCCGGGCCAGCTGCTCCCGCTCCGGCGCCGACAGGTACCGCTGCTGCCGGAACCGCCGCTCCAACTCCAGCGTCTGCGCCTTGGAGAAGAGCACCCGCCGCTTCTTCTTCTTCTCCTCGGCCTCCGAGCCGCGGGCGGGGAGCGACCTTTGGGTGGAGTCGGGCAAGCTCATCTCCGGGCCGCTCTCGTCGGAAGCTGGGGACAGCGAGTGGGTTAGAGAGAGGGAGCAGCCGGGAGCGCGGCAGGCATCGAGGAGGCCGCCGAGAGCTGAAACGCCTCTCGCAGGGAGAGCCCCGTCTGTCTGCCGGGCCGGATTAATCCCAACAGTCAGCGAGAAATGCGAGCTAACCCCGCGAACACATTAAATATAGCCCACGGAACGGAGCGGCTGTCGTCCGGGCTGGGACCCGCTTTTCCCCGCCGGCAGTGCCAGCAGGGGCACGGCCGCTTCGCCGCGCAGAGCCCGGGGATTGCGGGCTGCCAGCAGCGCTTTCCCTGGGTACTGAAACAGGATATGGGGATCCCCGCTCCTTTCTTAACTGCTTTTCGCTCGCCGCTCCATTACCTCAATATTTAACCTATTCCAGGGGTGTTCCCGCACCCATTCGAAGGATGATATCCCCCCGCGCACCCTGTATACACAGTTATACAATAAACACCGTATATCTGTGGCACGATTAATGTGTGCGAGGTGCGACCAATACGCTACACAGCTGGGTTTGCGGGCTGGAGCCTGGCTGCCGCAGGTGCGTGGGTCTGGGCGGGGGCGCGCAGGGCGCTCCGCGGCAGCTCGGGGAGGCGAGGCACGGCGTGCTCAGCTTTCCTCTGCAGAGCGTGGGGTGGCCTCAGACCCTTCAGCACAAAAAATACAGAATTTCTTGCAACAGTGAAACGGGGGTAAAAAAACTAATCCGGGAAGCAGGCTTAAACGATAAGCGCACAGAGAGATGCGAACACAACCTAAGATTTTGGTTTTTGCCGTAGCTAGGAATATGCTCTGATCTAAAACCCCAAAAAGCCTCCCAAAATAACCCACAACAAAAACCAAACCAACTTTTCTGTCCTAGGATGATGCCCGGGACATTTCTGCTGGTTCGTTGCTGTAATTCAGCAATATTTTATAAAATTCCCAGCCTGGATTCCCTCGATCCTGTAGGCTAGGTACACTGTCAATTCGCTGCTTCGCATCTTCGTCAAAAGAATGGGGGGAAACAAATAAAAGATAATTCTGCGGAGGTGGCGAATTCCTGTTCGTTTTATACTCACAGGGATAGTGATTTCTGTCTGTTTCTATCCACCCTCGATACGGCGAGCCGGTGTAGTTCTCCGCTGAGTGGCGATGGTCAGAGGCTTGCTTTATGCTATTAGCATCCTGCTCTGGTAAATCCAAAATGCTCCTCACTGTAAAACTGATCCTCCCAGATGTGGCCATGGTAGGTTGTGCACACACCCCCCAAAAAATATCACCCCAAACCGAACGTCCTTCCTTAAAAGCTGAGAGGAAAGGATTGCGTCCAGTTACTGGGGAATCTCTCGGCTCAAGAGGACCTTCCTTTCCATCGCCACCTAACCCCAAATATTAGTGTCGTTTACAGAGGTGTCCTGTTTATATAAACAGTCCTCCCCACTGCAAACACTGCCTGCTTTCAAACCGTCCCTGTCTATAGGATGCTAAGTACCTGAATTAGTCAAGTGCTAAAGCCCTAATGGGAGTAGGTGTAACCCCCCCTCCCGCCACCCCCATGAGAGAATAACCCGTTACCTCCCAAAGACAGCAGGAAACAGGCGTCATCATTACATATTCTGTCTGATTAGCCAAAAGTGGGGACAGATAATGGTAATTGTTAGCAGTGAATAACATCTTGGGTGGCATGTGGATGACCAACAACCACCCCCCTCCATCCGCCACCGAAGCCACCAGCGTCCCTTCTATCCGCAGACAAAGTGAATCCTCCCAGGACATCCGCAGAGCATGCCGAGAGCCCCCTCCCCATTTTTCCCTCTTTATTCCCCCCCCCATTGCCTTTTTTTTTAAATCTGGAAGGAATTTAAGTAGTTATTTGTTTTATTTGCCTGGCTGTTTGTACTGCTACCTCAAATTCCCTTCTTTTTGTTGGCAGATTTGCTACCCTCAACCGGGCATTTTTCACACCTCGACTGGGCTCTCGGCGGGGAAGGCTGGCGGGTGTGTGCCTTAAGGAATAGGATCTCTGGGATGGGGTTTTTGCGTTTCTTGGGCATGGTAGATGGAAGATTTTCCATCATTCACCTGTTTCTCGAGAAAGATGATAGCGGGAGCTTGGTATACTCGGCCTCTAAGGAAGAGTCAGGAGGGGGTAGAGGTGATTTTTAAAAAAAAAAATTTTAAATCACCAGTTTGCGTTGTACTAACCCAGGGAATAACCCATCGGGCGCGGTGTGTGAGTGACTGAAACGACTCCAGCTGGGGAGGGGGAGAAAAGATCAAACACGGCGCGTCTGTTTATCCTTGCCGTCGCTGCCGACGGCCTCTTCATCTGCCGAAAGCGGCAGCAAACGAAGCCGAGGGCCGGCGCCCCCCGGAGCAGGGTGCGGACACTGTCTGGGCACGGTTCGGGGCTGCAGCTCCGCGGGACCAGCACCTTCTCTCAGCTTCACCTCCCCTCATCCTTTCACCGGGCGGCTCTGTCCCCTCGCGAAGCTGCGGCCGGGCTTTGCCCATCCTCGGCGGCCGCCGAGGACTTAAAGAAAATACGATACAGAAACAAGGAGTCCAGCGTGCCGTTCAAACGCCAGCCCGCGGAGACAGGGCTCGGTGCCAGCTGCAGGGCAGCGGTAGAAGTGACCGATGGGGGCGATGTTTCACGCGGGTGGCAGCGTGGCTCACGCCGAGGCACCGCCGAGGGCGGAGGCGGGACGCGCTCCTTCCCCAGAGCTCCCGCCCGTTCCGCGGCGGGCACCGGCGCACGCCCCGGCGAGCAGGGCGAGGCCAGTCCGGCTGGATGGAGAGAAGCCTGGAGAGAAGGAGACACCCAGGCTCTCCCCAGCAGATCAGCTCTCCTCTGAACGCGGGCCGAGGCGCTCACAGCTCGTCCCCCACGGGGGAACGTCGCGGAACCCTGTGGCGATGCGCCGCGGGCCCGCAAAGGGAAACACATACACGCGGAGATACTCTTCTCTCCGGCCGCTTTGTCCGTTCTTATTTCCCTGTCCAAACAGGCATCTATGAGCTATTGTGTATAGATTATATCTATCCAGCCCCTCTCTCGTCCCCAAGACCTGCTGCCCGCGTGCCCCCGGCCGCCCCTCCCCGCCCTGCTCCGGGCGTCGCCTCTGGGAGCAGCTACAATTCTGGGGAAAATGTCAATGGGCAATAACGGCAAGGGAGAAGTGAGATTTATATCGGCGAGATTTGTGGGCGAGATGAACGGGGCACAAGGCTTCATTTGGCCACCTTCCCGCATATTTCTTCGGGACTGGACAGGCTCCATATAAACGATTCCCAGGCCGTGATTACTGCAGCCACCTATCAAGCGTGCCTGGTGACAGTAGTTATCTCCCAGCTCCGAGCACAGCCTCCCAGCCGTCCTGGGTGGTCGGAGCGAGGGGAGCACAAATACATGCCAACTGCTAGGCCGTGAACAAAAGGGAAATGTAGCCCTATGTCCCGGACCTGTTGGAAGCATTTGTTCCAGTCAAGATTTTGCATTTGTTCAGATCTGGAATAATAGGTGATTGACGCCTTCCCACAATGTGCTTTAACTCTCCGGGATAAATCGGAGCTTGTTCCTTGTTGTCATGGTTTTCAATAGGGTTCAATGGGATTGAACCACTATCGACTCTGCTTTACGTCTCCGGCAGCCCCGTCCATACAAATTTATTAGTTACGTCTTTTTAAATGAGATTAAATTGAAACGACGTGTCCGTCCTCGGCGGAGCGGCTACTGCCGCGGTCGCCCCTGTGTCCCCTTCGGCCCCGACAGCCCGTGTCACCGCGGGGGCAGCCCAGGCCCGGGGGGGACAGGGGGCACGGCCCCCCTGCCAGGTACGGCCGCGCTCACCTGCCCGGCCCGGCCGGCAGCGCCAACGCCGCCCCGCGCTCCCGAGCGCCCCGGCTATAAAAGGCCACCGAAAGCAATTATTAATATCTTGACCCCACAGGCAAATATTTGCTGAATGCCTGCGCGGGAGAGGAGCTTCGGGAGGGTCGACCAGAGCAGGGGAGGGGGCCGGGGTTCAGAGCGCCACAAACTTATACAGTATCCGAGGTGGCTCTTAAGAGGAGTTTGCCAAGGACACTCGAAAGAAAGTGCAAAAACTTTGCAAGGAAAAAAAGTCAGGATGAGAGAAAGAGACTCTACTTCAGTGACCTCTCTTAGCCTTTTAATCTATTTAACATCCTAAGCCCACACTGATGTGTAGAAATAAGTAAATGGTACTCTTCAAGCCTTAAGAGCTCTTCAGCGTCAAATATTTGCACTTACTCTTAGAGTTTTTTCTCAAATAGCACAAGACACATTCCCCTTGGACGAGCCGAGCTGTCTAAATATACCTACGCATTGTTATCTGCGGGAAACGGTTTGCTTCAAAGGCAGAACGTAATAACCTGAAATGTTTCATCTCTTGGTTTGCTTGAGACAGACTTGGACGCTTTTCAGCTCTGGCTGCCCGGCCTCGTTCGGGGTTTGCGGGTTCAGGTTTCACTCTCTCCCGCCGGGCTCCCGCGTGTCTGCCCACGGGACCCTGGACCTGCGGTTCCCGTGGGGAGGAATCCTCGGGCAGAGAGGTGCGCTTGCCGCTCACCTCCCTGTTCCGGCCGCTTCGGCGGGCGTCCTCGGCATCCCACCGAGAGCGACCCCGACGGTATCCACGGGGAAGAGACGGGGCGATCGTTTCTCCGGGGCTGTGGGAAGTACACGGCAGGGCCCACGCGTGAGCTCCGCCCGCAGATGCGGTGGGGTCCTGCGGCAGGATCCGCCCCGCGGTGCGGGCCCGTCTCTGCGGGCCCACGGGGTGAGACCTTGCTGCCTCCGTGGGCCAGTAGGCGATGGCTGCGTGTGCCCGACCACAGCTCCAGATAAATCCACAGAAACACTTGGCTCTCCCTCGCCCATTTAATAAATTTTCACCTTTCCAAGGAGGTTTTTTTTTTTTTTTTTTTTTTTTTTTTTAATCTTTGCTTGTTTTCTCACTGCACGCAGCGCGCTTTTCAGCTCATCCGCCTGCGGCTCATGCGAGGCGGGGTGGGAGGGCCAGGAGCCCGGGGCCCGGCCGTGTCCCACAGCCGCTGCGGCACACCAGGTGGGGTGCGGTGGCCGTGGGGCCCCGTAGGGACACCGGCGGAGATAACCCTGCAGCGGGGGCCGGGCTGCTCCCGGCGAGCCCAGGCCTCGGAGGACGGCGCAGTTTCCTGCCCGAGAGGCGGCCCGGCCCGCTGAGGGCATCCCGGGGCCCCGCCGGACCGTCCCGTCGCGGCTCTCCCCGCGCCCTTGCCCGGCGCCCCTCCTCACCAGCCCCCGCTGCAAAAACACCTCCGACCACCTCAGAAAATAGCGGCTTTTTCTATAATTCCTTTTTTTTTTTTTTCCTTCCTACTTGAATGGGTTCATTTACTGTGCTCAGTGGAGGATTGCAAAGCAGATTGACCAAATCGATGTATGTGAGAGGTAGAAATCAAGTATTGACCAAATCGATGAATGTGAGATGTAGAAATCAAGTATTTTCCTACACCAGTTGATCGTCCCTACACTTCCACAGAGGAGGAGAGAAAGGGGAAAAAAAAAAGGGAAAAAAATATTATCAACACAGAGACTGTCTTTCTCTGATTGGTGTAGTCCTGGCTTTAAGGAGGAACTCTCCACAGTGTATCTGCAGGGGTGTTAAATACAATACACTGAAGTGACTGAATGAAAACCTGACCTCACAGAATTTAGTGTGAATTTTAGAATTTATTTTAAAACAGGCAAAATTCCATCTGTTGTGTAAAAACCGAAGAATTCTTTACTTCTTTTTTACCAATAATGAACTTTCCCATAACTTTGCACCCTCTTCCTTCATAATCTGAAAATAGTATCTTTTATCTTTCTCTCTCAACTACAAACCAGCTTTAGATGTTGAAAATTAATATAACCTCTTATTTGTCTTTTTGCTTTGCAGCTGATACTCATTGTAATACACTTTCTAGTTAGGGTAAGACTGTGGAAGACATGGAATATACCCTACAGGAAAACTGGTTTCTATGTATTTCTGTGTGTTGTATTTGTGTCTCTTTCCTTGTAGAATAATGAAATTTGCTGTGTACATTTCTTGATACATCTGAACTACCTGCACCAGGTCCTTTATTTATCTTTTTTTAAATGACTATTCCTAATTTTAAGTACCTAAACACATCGACTTTAACTTATTAAAGACTACAACAAACAAAATAATCTTTCTTTTGTGGCCAATTTTGAA